CACGGTGCCCACGTGCCGTGCACCACGCGCTCCTGGTACAGTCGTGTTGTTTTGCAGGTGATTAGTCTTGTGTTTGCTTTATTCAGTTTATGTTCTGCTATCGCCGAGTAACATTTATCTCTCTGAATTCCTCCTGTGCGACATTAGGAGGGTTTATATTGTTTGTTGTTCTCCCCCCATTATCACCTGCTTCTAGTAGTCATATTTCACCAGAGGTTTTGGTTGTGCAGATAACCTGTGGCTGCTCACTCATCCCACTGTGATGCGAACGGTGCCTTCTGACGCCCTGTAACTGTTATTTTCTGAACATCCATTTTTCCTGTGCACTCGGAGTGCGTGCAGTGAGGGAAGGGAGATCCTTCATTCCGTTGTTGTCTGTCTGCTCTGGTACTGGTTGAGGTTTTGGATCTAGCTGACTAGGTAGCAGTGTGCAATGAACCGTCTAGGATTCAAGTTTGTTTCTTCGCTGGTGGTTCCAGCACTTCTGCTTTTGGAGTGAGCTGGAGGATCAAAGGAAAAGGACTTGTGACCAAGTATGGAATCAGTGCAGTTCTTTATCAATCCAGATGGTTATAAACATAAAATCTAAAGCATCTTCAGGGCCGTAGGGTCTAAACAATAAGTGCCACCTTCTCTGTTGCTGGATGCTTGGTTGCTTAGTCTTTTGTGTTAATGGCTTGGGAGGAATTCTGTCAAATAATTGCTTTCCCGTAGTTTCACAGAGCTGAGCTCCAAGTTCCCGTATGTAAAGGCCTTAGCCCACAGGCAACAGTAAAAGATTGAGGTGTTGTCATATGTCATACCAAGTTTTTGTAGCTCTAAGGTATTCTTGAAATAAGGATTACTTCTTTTTCTTCCAGAAAAAGTAAGAATCACAGAATCTTTTAGGTTGGAAAAGCCCTTTAAGATCATCAAGTCCAACTGTTACCCCAGCACTGCCAAGGCCACCACTAACCCATGTCCCTGGGCACCTCGTCCACATGGCTATCAGATCATGGTGACACCCCCCCCTCCGTGGGCAGCTCATTCCAATGCCTGACAGCCGTTTTCCGGGAAGACATTTTCCCTAATATCCTCCCCTGGTGCAACTCGAGACCATGTCTTCTTGTCCCATCACTTGTCACTCAGGAGACTGACCCCTCCTCTTCCACAGGCTGAACTCCCCCAGCTCCCTCAGCCGCTCCTCACAGGAATTGTGCTCCAGACCCTTTCCCAGCTCTGTTCCCTTCTCCGGACACGCTCCAGCCCCTCAGGGTCTTTTCTGCAGTGAGGGGGCCCAAACTGACCCCGGGATTCAAGGTGCAGCCTCACCAGTGCCCAGCACAGGGGGACAATCCCTGCCCGGGTCCTGCTGGCCACACTGTCCCTGATGCTGGACAGGATGCCGTTGGCTCCAGCGCAGCCCGGGGACACGCCCGGTCCTAAGCTCCCCCAGGTCCTTTTCCACCGGGCAGCTTTCCAGCGCCTCGTCCCCAGCCTGGAGCATTGCTGGGGGTCGTTGTGGCCGATGGGCAGGACCTGGCACTTGGCCGTGTTGCCCCTCCCACAGTGCCCTTGGCCCACGGATCCAGCCTGTCCCGATCCCTCTGCAGAGCCTCCTGCCCTCGGGCACATCCACACCCCCCAGCTCGGTGTCATCCCAGGCTGACTGAGGGTGCCCTCGATTGCCTGTGACTCCGGAAGGTGTTGTCTTTGTGGTGGATTTCTCTGTTGTGTGTCCAGCCAGGCCGTGGCTGTTGACTTGGGGTCAGTGTATCAAAAACTCGCTGAAAATGTTACTTTGATCCCAGATACTGTAGGAGGTGTGAGGCTGTTTGTGCAGTTAATGCACGAACTTTAACTTCATGGAGAAGGAAATCGTGCAGCGAGTGGAGGTTGGAAAGTGACGCCGCAGCAGCACTGTCTGCGGCTCGGGCTGCGTGTTCCTGCAGAGCCATTCCAGGCCGTGGGCTGCAGCGATGCCTTTGTTTGCACGTGACTAACAAACGGGGCGCAAGTGCCACTGCTGAGACTGCATCAACGTTCTCCTGGCTTAGGTCCTCCCGTCCTTCCCAGGTTTTCCATAATGCCAGCATACATTTGTGGGACAGTACTTTCCTACTCGCTGTTTTATTGAGGCTTGTTTTAAGGAGTGGGAGTTCCTAGGAAATATATCTGTGAGTTTTCAGAAAGGAGTATTTACCAAGGGCTCGAGCCAAAGCTGAAGTAATTCTGAGGCGTCTTCTCCCCGTGTTGCAGGTGTACGTGTCTGAGGTATCGCATCCTAGAGTGCGCGGTATGCTTGGCTCTTGCGTCCAGCTGATGGTCGTGACTGGCATACTGGGAGCCTACGTTGCAGGTAACTGGGGCTAGGGCTCTGGGTTACACAAAGGAGTTGGTACGTGTCTCGCAAGAACTGCGCTGAAGAACTGAAAGTGAATATTCATCTGTTTGTACCACGAATTGATGCTCATGAGCCTCTTTCTTCCTTCTCGTTACCCAGGGATGGCGCTGCAGTGGCGCTGGCTGGCAGTGTTGGGCTCCTTTCCAGCCTGTGCGATGCTGCTGTTCATGTCCTTCATGCCCGAAACACCGCGATTTCTGCTGAATCGCAACAAACGCTCGGAAGCTGTAGCCGCGCTGCGCTTCCTGCGGGGACCACATGCAGACCACGACTGGGAATGTGGGCAGATGGAAGCTGGTGTTCAGGAGGGGGTGAGGGTCGGAGTTACTGCTCAGAACTTTCTGTGTGGACGTAACATCCGAAAGCACGTAGTGTCATTCAAAGGGTTGTTCCAAAGCTTAGCTGGTAGGTACAGTGGCCCCAAGCCTGTTTCCTCACAGAACTGATGCTCAAGGAGCCAGTGAGATTCTTTGAAGCTTTCTCCTCTGCCGTTCAGCAGCCGCTGCTGTCACCGTGGCTGCCTGTCACTGTGCTCACGAGTGGCAGTTGGGCTGTAGGCTTGTTATTTGTATCCCAGCTGGCTGGTCCTTCATGTTACTGGGCAGTTCTGCGGGGCTGTTCAGCACTTCCAACACTCATTTCCTGCGGTTTGTGCTGGCTGAACGCATTGTCTCGGGTGAGCCGTGCGCCTCAGCAGGCCCGTCTGGTCCTTGGTTGGGTTTCTGCAAATCACGGGGTCGTTCTCCTCCGAGCCCTGTGGGAGTCTGTCTCTAGGACCTGAGAGAAGGGGAAGGACGCTTTTCGGGGGTTCTCCACTACCAACTGTAAACGTTTTTACGGCTGAGGCACTCAGTGTTGCTGAAGGGGGATGGGAGACTTAGGGAGTTTGAACGGACTGAAATGTTCTGAGGTTTTTGGTTGGTTTGGGGTTTTGATTTAGAAGATGATTTTTTTCCACCAACAGGGCCTGAGTCTCTCTGAATTTAAGAACCCTGCAATCTACAGGCCGCTCCTCGTTGGCGTGGCATTGATGTTCTTCCAGCAAGTAACGGGCATTAATGCAGTTATGTTCTACGCAGAAACTATCTTTGAGGATGCAAACTTCAAGGTAATGGGGGTGTGTTTCCAAACCTGCGTGTCTCTCACCGGTCCAGCTTAGTCAGTCTCAAACACGCACCGAAGTGGCTCGGTGACGATCCCGCCTGTGCCACCCACAGGGCTTGGGACTGAGGGGGCTTTTCTGGCTTGGATTCTCGATGCCCCTTGATGGCGGTACACTGGCACAGCGGGTTTTCTTGCGGAGGAGTATGTTGTGTTTTGCTGCTCTGAAACATTGACACTGCTAGAAATTTCTTATTACAGTCACCTTCCTGTATATTTTTATTAGTCGAAGATGCAGTGTTTCAGAGAAAGTGAAACTCTGGGGAGAAGTTGTGACTTATTTGAAAGGTTAGTAAGAGCCCAGTATGTTGTGTTAATTGATCTCCTCCCACCTCACTGTTCCCCCCACCCTTAATTTCTGTGGCAGTTTGTCTTTTTTCAGATTCAAGAAACAAATGCATGAGAAGTGACCACCTCACCAGCCTGAAAGAGCAAGTTCTCCCTACCTCTGACTTTGTTTCAGGACAGCAGAATGGCTTCTGTTGTGGTTGGGTCCATACAAGTGTGTTTCACTGCTGTGGCTGCACTTATCATAGATAAAACTGGACGAAAAGTGCTGCTTTACACATCTGGTAAAACATGTTACTGAATTTTGTTCAGGAAGAAAAATTACTAACACAGTACCGAAAAGTGTCTTAACTGTTGGGGGAATCAAGTGTTGCAATTTATGCTTTTTTAAGTGGTTGGCTTTATATTTACAATTTGGTAGAGCTATAGACTCCCCAGAGGAAACTACCACGTTGTAGGTTAGAGATACAGCCGTTAGAGGCGGAACACCTGGCAGCTACATACGGCTCTTCTGGTGCTCTTACCGGGCCAGCTTGTGTTTGGAAAGCTTTGTTACCGAGACAGCTCCGACCCTGGTGACGCCATTCGGTGTCATGATATGGTCTCATCCCCAAGCTGTCAACGGATGGCCGTTGCAAGGGAATTTCTCCATCGCTGCTGCTACTTCCGTGGCGCGCTGTGGTGTTCAGTTACACAAGACTGTAGTTACAAAATGCAACGCTACAAGTAAACGTGCTGACAGACACATCTGTCTGACAGAGCTGCGGTGCTGCACGCTCAATAGTCATGGCTTCTGCCAAGGCTGCGTTGTTTGGCTGCCGGGTAGAACGCTTGTCTGGCCCCTTTCACTCCTCTCAAGGGCAGCGTTTAGTTCCAAGAACAGTATCTTATCAGAAAACTTCCCTGAGGGCAGCATCTCTTCTGTTTGGCTGACTAACTGTGTTCTGTCTCTCAGTCGACTACCCAGTTAGCAACCACTGACACTGTGACTGCTTCCTTTTCAGGAATAATCCTGGCTCTCAGTACTGCATTGTTTGGGCTTTATTTCAAAATGGTCCTGCCACAACAAACCAACGCATCAAATCCGGATGTGTGGATGAGCATGAACTCGGCATCCCCAGGAACAGGAAGCAGCATCTCCTGGTTGGCAGTAGTGACCCTGGGGCTCTTTGTCGCAGGTATGTGGAACAGGCGGCCAAGTGGCCACTACACAGAACTCAGAACCCTCCAACTTGTGAGGAATGTGACGGTTTTGTTCCATTTTGTGACACTGTTCCTGAATGGAAATGACTTACGTCTGTGACGGGTGTAGGCTGCAGAGCTGGGTGGAGCATGGTGACAGCCAGCAGCTTAGGTAAGCCAATTCCCTGGAAAATGAGTTTATACCTCCCTGTACTCATAGTTAAGTAGTAATGGCTCAGGTTGAGCTGCTTTACTGGCAGTAAGGGGAACACCAGTCTGGGTTGGTGTGCGAGCCACACGGACGGCGGTGATGGTACAAGGCTGCAGATACACCCGACCTTGTCTCTAAGTTTACTGCTTCAGAGACATCATGGTATGAAGTTCTGCTTGTTAAGAGTATCTGTGTAATTAAATTGATGTAAATGCACTAGTGTTTATTATGCTGCCCCGAAATAACTTATTCTCTTTCTTTATGGTAGAGGTGCTGTTTTACTGGAATCCTCCAAGAATCTAGAGTGAACTACATCCCCCTGACTTGACCTACTTGGACATCATTCAGTCTTCCCTCTAACGTACCGAACTCGCACTTGCTCTCTTCTGTTTGCACATGCAGGTTTTGCCCTTGGCTGGGGTCCTGTCCCATGGCTAGTGATATCTGAAATCTTCCCACTGAAAGCCAGAGGCATATCCAGTGGTGCGTGTGTGTTAACAAACTGGATGATGGCCTTCTTGGTAACCAAAGAATTCCATGACTTGACAGTAAGCATCGTGAATTACAATCCCAAGTTTCTTTCCATAGGGAAGTGTGAGCCTTGCTCCTCAGCCCCTGAGCCCCTCCGCCTCTCTCTAGTGCAGAACCAGGGTGCTACAGGACCCAGCTGTAGTAACATGGTTTTTCTTTCCCCTCCCTCAGGACTTCTTAACACCCTACGGCACGTTCTGGCTCTTCTCTGCCTTCTGCTGCCTCAGCGTAACCTTCACAGCCTTTTACGTTCCCGAAACGAAAGGACAGACCCTGGAACAAATCGAGGCCTACTTCAGATCGTAAGCTGAAGGCTTTGTCTGTCAACACGAAACCCTCGTGGTACGAACGAGGGGGCTGTGGCTGAACCAACTGCATCATGTGGCCCCAGCTCCGTTATCCGACTCACTATTGAATCGTTTTAATCAATTTTGAAAAATCTGAATTCTGTTTTTTTTAAAAGTCCCTATGGGGCCGTGCACGCCCCCACATCCTCCCTGCAGTAACGCTCCCTCTGCCATCTCGGCCGTCCTCTTCTTCGACTCCTGTGCTCCCGCCTGGTGCAGGCAGACGATAAAGGCTGACTAAGCACGTTACATGTATTAGCCAGGATCTTTTTTTCTGAGATGTAAATTAAGAGCTCATTTTGTAAATAAATAATGAAACGTCCATGCTCCTCTTTACCTTTCCCTTACGGCACGGTGCAGCGAGTGACGTAGCCTGGCTAATGCGGCGCTTTCCCTCTCTGTTCCTGCTACTGCTTCTGGGAGGCCCCAGCTGGAGGGGGACGCTTGGCTGTCAGGGGCAGGGTCGTTATTTTTCCTGTTGCTGTCACGTTGGCCAGGAGTGCATTAAATCCCAAGAAGGGCTGTAGCTCTTAGGAGTATTTTAGAATTCAGGAAAGCACATTGCTTTTCCAAAAGGAATTACAAAGTCTTGGAGACAGTGAGACTATACTCCGGAAAAGGAGAAAAACTGTTTTGTGCTGTTAATTTAAGAGGTAGAGATCTGCAGCTGGAGCAGGTCTCCAAGTCTAAAAGATCCCTGGAAACAGAAACCAGTGCTGGTCTCGTCAGAGCTGCAGAGTGCTTAAGACACAAACTCCAAGCTGACCGGTACGACGCAGCACTGGAACAAATGCCATCTCTGGAATGAAATTCCTAGAGAACTCAACCAGGAGCAGGAATCTAGAGCTGTCTGCAACACCATACCAGCTCCTGTTGTCTTACCTTCTTGTCTGAGGAACCAGACTGGGAAAAGGTGTTAGTTGTGCAGGTGTGAAAGGACGGACTGAGGTCAAATATATGGTTTATTACACGAGGAGTAAGTCAGCTGGTACTCGGTCACAGGGGTGAGAAATGGCACTTTGTCCCGTTCTAGCTGCAGTAAGACTGGTCCTATTTGGATGTCACATCTAAACCAAACTGTACAATCACATGACATTAAACCCAATGGTACTACACGGGCATTTAACACAAGGGGTGGATCAAGACGTTTTGATCGCAGACGTAGCAACAGCCACCAACGCGCAGTTCTTGTTCCAGCGCAGTCTGCCAACAGCCGAAGGCTTGGTTAAAACCGACAGTCCAGGCCGATCACACTTTTAGCATAAACCTTTAGACATCACATTTTTCATTCAACCAGATAAGTACCAAACAGGCTATAAATAAATATGCAGAAAATAAATACTCTTTAGTTTTCAACTCCTGCCCCAGTATCATGATTTCCAGTAGCAAACAGGAGCCCGGCAGGTGCAGGGCAGCTGCCACACGGAGCAGCGAGGCAGCGTACAGGCTGCTGCAGTCGCTGTGCTCAACCAGGAAGCTTAAAACCACTTTCCAGCCTGCACGCACGGACGGATGTTTGCTGCGTGCTGTCACAGGAACTCTCCCACGCGCCACGTGAGGTTCTCCTGGCAGAATTTATTCCTCCCCACCAGCAGGCTAAGCCTAGCTGAGAAAATGCTGCTCCAGTGGAATCGGCAAGCACCGTGCCCAGGACCCCCGACACCCAACTGCTAACAGCGACAGTAGCATGGTGCTAACGTTCATACACAGAAGGCAACAAACATGACTTGAGATACCTCATCACATGCCAATGGGCTTTCCACCCCCTCCAGATCACATTACTTTGTCTTCCTGTACATGCTTAGGACGTGCAATCCCTTTAGATTGGTAGTGGAAAGTACAACTACGTACACGTACAGCTGTGCACAGACTGACAACCAAAGCCAAACGATTAGATCTCACATGCGGACTAAGTCAACAGCTCGGGGAAAGCTGCTGCGTCCGCAGCCCAGGTGAGCTACGGATCCGCGCCTTTAGGAGAACGTGCAGGAGCGTGACTCTCACTTGGTTAAATACACAGAGAACAGCACAAAGTTAGTGTCAGGAGCAGCAACCTTGACCCTATGGAACGGGTTACGTTCTGGTGTTCCACACAGGGCTGGAGCCCCTCTGCCATGGGGACAGGCTGGGAGAGTTGGGGGGTTCAGCCTGGAGAAGGAAAGCTCTGGGGAGACCTTAGAGCCCCTTCCAGTGCCTGGGGGGCTACAAGAAAGCTGGGGGGGACTTTTTACAAGGGCAGGGAGTGACAGGACAAGGGGTAATGGATTTTAATAGAAAGAGGGAGATGGAGATGGGACATCAGGAAGGAATTCTTCCCGCAGAGGGTGGTGAGGCACTGGGACAGGTTGCCCAGAGAAGCTGGGGATGCCCCATCCCTGGAAGTGTCCAAAGCCAGGCTGGATGAGGCTTGGAGCAACCTGGTCTGGTGGAAGGTGTCCCTGCCCATGGCAGGGGGTGGGACTGGGTGGGCTTTGAGGTCCTTTCCAGACCAAACCATTCTATCATTCCTGGAGGTGCTACCTGTCCCCTGCCCTGCCAAGAGCTGTTTGAGTACTTACTCAGTTGACTGGCCTAGTACTAAACAACAACCCACAAAACCCCAACTTACTGTAGTCTGCCAATCAATTAAAATGCTTGCACATGCCATCAAAGCAGTCACATGATGGCAGACAGCAACATTGTCACGTGCATCCTGTGTGTTACGTGTAACAAAAAAACCCCTAACTGCCACCCCCCAAAAAAAACCCCAAAACAAACAAACCCCACCCCAGCCCCAAACCAGGAAAGGACTGTGATCAGAACAGGCCCTGTCTGTGCCTTGCAAACCCATAAACTGAGGGTATCCCTCCCTCCTTCTATCCACAAAACCCTCATTCCCGCCCTCCCAGCATCTGTCTGTCCACCCATCCATCCTCTGGAGCTGTCACCAGCACCAATACAGCAACGAGCCCCTCCAACTGCACACGGTCTTCATCCCGCCTTGGAGGGAAGCAGCGCGTTACCTTCCAACACCTCGCAGGGGGGTAAGGCACTGCCACTGGCAAAAAGAACTGGACAAAACCGCCCGTCAGTTTGCAACAGGCCCCGAAGCCCGGGCTGGCTGGGCTGCAGGACAGGCTCGCCGAGGGCCCTAACAGCTCCGCAGGACACGTGCGAACGACTGTTGCTCGTGTGCCCCGGGGGTCTACTCACACGTCACAGCGATGGTTTGCGTGCGTGCTGGCGTGCAAACGCAGACAAGGATGATGCTCAGCACGTTGCAGCCCCGTTCTGAACAGACTCAAAGCCTGGCCCAAAGCAGCGCTGCTGCTGCTTTGACTGGCGGTGGGTGTGGGTACGATCCGCAGCGCTCCCTTCCTGTCTCAGTGACTCTGTGATTCCTGACCCGTGCTGGTGCTAGATTGCGTGCTAGAGTACGTGCTAGATTAACAGCCTGTGCCGTCTGATGCTCGCACCAAAGGACATGACAGTGCTATAACTTAGTCCGACTGTGGCACGGCCCCAAAGCAGACAGTACCATTAGCCAGACGGGGTTAAGCGCCCCACCTCCCCCAACACATCCAGCGTGTCAGACAGAAAACATTTCTCACAGAAACTCCTCCAAGTGCAGAACGGGCCTTCAGCTGAGCTGAGCCTGACAGCAGTGTTCATCTTGGGAAGGAAGCTTCCTTCGCAGAAACTTCTTCCGTCCACCTCGAGTCAGCTTTCCTCGCCATTAGCACACCGCTCCGCTTATGCCGCTGTCAGCAAACACTCTCTGCTCAGCCAAGACCAAGCCATAAGGGCAGCTTTAACCTACAACGTGACTGTAGGAAGGGTTGTGCTTAGGGTGGGCACGGCTACAATCTGTGCCCGTGGCCACTTCCTAAGGCTGAGTTAGCAGATGCACGCACAGGCTGCTGAAGCGGACGGGAAACAACGTGGCTCTAAGGCTGGAGTGAAGGACACAGGAACTGTCCATCCCAGCAGCCTTTCAACAAGCCTGGGCATCTGCCACCCAAGTAGGAGAGGGTCCATCGAAGTATAAAAACCTTGCCCTTTATAAATGATACACAAGAGCTTGATGTATCAAACTCCTGGTTGGCTTCCGGTTTGATTTTAATTCGCAGTCTGAATAGCATGGGTCTGGGATGGTGTTTTGAGAGACACAATGGCTAGAAGCAAGTTCAGAGGATGCCAACTCATCACACAAAGAGGCCTGTTAACTCGTGGCAGCGTGATGAGACTTAAGAGCCCACAGAAACCACATCCTTGTACAGTGGACATGGAATCGTGGAATCTTTTAGGTTGGAAAAGACCTTTAAGATCATCAAGTCCAACCGTTACCCCAGCACTGCCAAGGCCACCACTACCCCATGTCCCTGGGCACCTCGTCCACACGGCTCTCAGATCCCTTCTGGGATGGTGACTCCCCCATCTCCCTGGGCAGCCCGTTCCAACGCCTGACAGCCCTTTCTGGGAAGACATTTTCCCTAATATCCTCCCCTGGTGCAACTCGAGGCCATTTGTCTCTTGCGCTATTGCTTGTCCCCTGGGAGAAGAGACTGATGCCCCCTCTCTGCACCCTCCTTTCAGGGAGTTGTAGAGAGTGATCAGGTGTCCCCGAGCCTCCTCTTCTCCAGGCGGAACCCCCCAACCTCCCTCAGCCACTCCTCACAGGAATTGTGCTCCAGACCCTTCCCCAGCTCCGTTCCCTTCTCCGGACACGCTCCAGCCCTTCAAAGTGTCTGGGGGGCCCAGAACTGACTCCAGGATTCAGGGTACAGCCTCACCAGTGCCCAGCACAGGGGGACGATCCCTGCCCGGGTCCTGCTGGCCACACTGTCCCTGATGCCGGCCAGGATGCCGTTGGCTCCCTGGCCACCTGGGCACCCGCCGGCTCCTGTCCAGCTGCTATCAACCAACACTCTGTATTTGTTCAGCTGTGATTAACAATTTCACATTATTGTGTGATACTTTGGCTTTCAATACCACAAATGTGGTACAGAGAGAGTTGGTTTGTCTGTGTCCAGCAAAACTGGAACATTATTACTGTGTTCTCTGCCCTCTGCCTATGCCCTGGGCTGCTTGCATACAGTAAGTAGGCAGCGAACTACATACACACAACCCTAAAGCCTCAGCTACCATCTCTAGGGGTCAGAAAGTACACTAATGGTGCCTAATGCCTCCAAGTTCCTTGCTAGGTCTAACATTATCCCTACATCCCTCCAAGACACTCAGCAATTACAGAAGCAGAAACCCACGAAGTGGCAGCCTTCTTAAGGCACTTAACGTCATGCAGTAGGAACGAAGACAGGACTTTTTTCCAGGGTCAGACCCTTCCTGTCCTATGAGTGACAGTCTGTTAGGTCTGGCAGTTCCCACTGTGACAGCTTACTCTCAACCCCTTAAATCAAGTTACAGCACAAAATTCAGGTGGGAGGTGGTGGGGGAAGAACTATACCAACATTCTGTACCAGTGAAGTACCGTGAAACCAGTCTGATCTGTTTTTTACTGGCTTCAGCAATCCAATGTCACGGGCACCCCTTAAAGCCCTTCTGCTGTCTGTAGTATTCGCTAACGTTACCAATGCTGAGTACAGCTGACCGCCAGTGCTTCCCCCACACTCTTACTTCCCGGCAGTTCTGACAGCCACTGCTGTGGTTCTGCGTACGGAGAGTTAACTCCGGCCTTATGGCCCCTCTCTCTATAATCATGTCTCCACCAAGCAGTCAGTGGTCAAGGTTTCTGCCAAGCTTCCCTTGTTCTTGATCTCCCTAGGGCTCCATCTCCATCTCCATGGAGCACTATCTATCTTTCGGGACACC